ATGTAGCTGTATAGGATCTGGTTTTAATCAGTATTAAATAAGAAAATTAAATTTTTATATAGCCACCTAGACTCAAGCCATATTAATACTAATCTGTTAGAAAATACCTCAGTATCACATTGATAAGATACAAATGTGTTCCTTTGATGTTTTTCTACTCTTTCCAATTTCTTTTTAGAGTGGTATGACCACTTTCAAGACAGATTATGTGTCTATCTTTCCAACCAGCATCCTTGGAGACCTAGATACTGATAATATATAGAATTCAAATGCTCTCTGCAAGGATTAAATTTTCTCTTAAAAGTTATCTTTTATAGATACTTCCAGAGTTTTATATAATTTACTTTATGCCTGCTAATTCAGTATTTTGTGATGATATTTTAAAGTCGTATGTTTTTTAAACCCAATCAGAAAAAGAGGAAGATGAAGTTAATTAACTCTTCTCCAAAGAAGTACAAATGGCCAATAAGTACATGCAAAAATGTTCAGCTTCTTTAGCTATTAGGGAAATACAAATCAAAACAACTCTGAGAGTCCATTTTACCCTACTCAGGATGGTTATCACCAAAAACACAAAAACAGCAAATGTTGATGAGGATGTTGAGGAAAAAAAGAACATTTCTACATTGTTGGTGCAGTGTAAGCTAATACAACCACTGTGGAAATTAGTGTGGTGATCTCTCAAAACTCTAAAACCAGAAATTCTATTTGATCCAGCTATGGCTTTCCTGGGTGTGTTTTTGAGAGAAATAAAGTCATCATACCATAGTGATACATACATACCCATCTTTACAGCAATACAATTTACACTAGCTAAACTACATAAACAGCCTAGATGCTCATAGACAGAGAAATGGTAAAAACATGGTATGTACACACAGTGTAATTTTCTCAGCCATAAAGAAGAATGATTCACTTCATTTGCAGGAAAATGGTAAGATCTCAAAACCATAATATATATATCTCAATGTACCATACACCATATACCATATATATATACTATATATACTATACACAATATATATTGTAATATGTACACCAGTTCTCCAAAATGAATGCAATTATTATGTATCAGAAACAAATATCAATAAAAAACATATATTAATAAAAATATTAAAACATATCAATAAAAATAAAATCATATATTTAAATAAATATGTTTGTATAAATACCTTTTCTAAATGTTTAAATATTTAAAAATGAACTGTTGAGTGTTCTATCTAAACTGATATTGTTAGGAATCACCCATAATTATTATTTATTTTATAAGAATTTATATCTACATGTTATGTGTATGTTACTTGATTTCTTTGTGTACTGATAATGTACTCACATTCTGAATTATACTGAGCTTTTCACCCTGAGGGACATTATTTGTGGGCTCATGAAATCTATGATGTGATGGTAGCCGAAGTGTTGATTTCCCTCCTTCTGTACTTTCAGGCTCCTTTCTTCGAGGAAAGCCCACCTCACTTAATTCTGAGCATTGGATTAATTCTTTTTTTTTTTTTTTTTTGGTACCAGGGATTCGGGGCCTTGCGCTTGCAAGGCAAGCGACGGAACCACTGAGCTAAATCCCC